TAAAGGCTAAAGAGCTCTGACCAAACCCTTTTCTGTCATAATGGTAAATGGTCAAATATGAAATTACCCAAAATTGTAACATTTTTCCTTCCTAAGGATTCCAGTTAATACTTCAAAGTCAGTGTTATGAAGTTTCTCCATAAATTACATTAAAACCTGCTAAGCAATTTGCCTAGGATTTTAAATTTCAAATTTACATAAGTAATTCCAACTTGATATTTTATTTTTAAAAGATATAAAATAAAACTTGGAGGAACTATGGCTTAAACATTTTAGATCTTAATCCTTATAATTAAAAGGTGCCTAACGATGCCTAATTATTAAAAAAAAGGACTTTAAACCTAAATATATTTAAAATGTTCCATTATTTTAGTTAGGTAGCACTTACTATTTTTATAGTACACTAAAAGTCTTAATTACCCTTACTGATGGCTGGTAGCAAGGATCTACATAATCCAAATCAGAAGAGCATTTTAACATGGTCATTTATTAACACCTACAAACTCAAAACATAAAACTCCTGATTAAAAATATATACACATGAACAACCTAATAGTTATTTACCCTTACAAATAGTTTTGTTAATATTTTATATACTTAATATTTCAAAAGCCAGATATTAAATAATATTAGTGACAGATTACAACTCATTGACTATTAATCCATGAGAGCATATTGGTATGAATAAATAATTTCATAAATGAATGAATAAATAAGAAGGGAAGTACTTTCCCACAAGGTAATGCTAAGTAACAAATATTGAGATGATAATGGAATTAGAAAGTCACCACTGGCAACCATTATTGTCATAATTGATCCAGACAATAATCATGAATGGATGTTAAAATGAGTAGAAAGTTTGATGAGAACTAGGAATTTTACATAGTATCTCCTCAAAATATACTTTTTAATTAAACAAAGGAAAACCCAGCAACTTCACAAGGGAGAAATGTGACAGGCACTACCTCAACAAAGTCATTAAAACACAATCACCAATAATGGGATAAACCAACATCATGTGACTTCTGAAAGACATGACAACTAGATTCAATGTGGGATTCTGTACTGATCCCTGGACCAGAAATTAAAACTTTTCTTTTTCGCTATAAAGAACACTAGTAGAACAATTGGCAAAAAGTCTAAATCAATTTCTTGAATTCCCTTGTTCTTAAGAAATACACATTTAAATATTTATAGGTAATGACATGCCATGTCTGCAACTTATTCCAAGTGGTCTAGAAAAAAAAAAAACACAAATAGATAATGCAAATGTGGTAAAAAGATAACATATGGGGAAACTGGGTGAAGGATATGTATATGTGAATTCTTTGTACTATTCTTTCAATTTTTCTGTATGTACAAAATTATCTCAAAATAAATGTTAAAACAAAACATAATAAAAGGAAAACAAACAAATCATTAGATAAACGTAAGAAAAGGGGTGATTAAAAGAGCAAATTACAAATGCACATGATGGGTGAAATTTTGGTTTACTTATTCATGCGCTTACATTATTATTGCTATATTTTATCTAAGTGTCTTGGGGCACTTTACAAACATGTTTTATTCCTCACTGTATAAATGGAAAATAGACATGCAGAAAAGCTCCCAAAATGTGGCAAATTGATTTTGGAATGGAAACAAAGAAAATTTGACTTTTAATTGGTAACACAGTGTTAAAATGCAATATATAGCTAGATACACCAGAAGGTATTTGTTTACCTTGCTCTATTGTAAATCACTGGCTCATTTTCTTCCTGCACAGTTGTCAGCATATCCAAGTCATGGAATATTTTCTGCATATAGTCCAAATATTTATATCCTGAAGCTCTTTCTACTATGGCTGCCAGTAGGGTATAGCCAAAAGTTGAGTACAAAAACTGACTACCTTGAGACATCATTGCAAGAGGGGAAAAAACAGAAAATACTTAATTATTATTAAAAAATATGTAAATATTTTCCCACTGAAAATAGGCATACCTTTAAAATTGTAATATTTTACTTCAGCATATCAACAAATTCAGTTAATTTTTTATAGCCCCACTTATTGCATCTCACTATAATGCAAGAATAAAATGATGATCGGTATATGTATTTAAAATTTCAATGAATCTGTTCCTTTCTCTGATAATGAAATAAACAAATGAATCCTACCTCAAAACAAAATAAAAAAAATCATTCAAACTGACAACCAAATAGGAAGGGAAAAAAAAGCAAATTTGATTTCTTGAGTCAACTATTCTTGTTCTCAATTCATCTAGTATTGTAAACAGTGGATAAATAGATGTATAAGTTCTCATTTTAATAAAATATATGTAGGCATAAAAACTATTTCAAAAACATATTTAAATATACAGTATATATGTAGAATTTTAAAAACATTATATATGTACATATATATAATTTCATATATGTAATTTTATACTACTTTGTATTCTGGAAACTTAAAATTTTATTATCCATATAAAAATGGGTAGAAACCTTATTTTTTTCTCCCGGTACTGGGGATTGAATTGGGGAGCACTTTGTCACAGAGCTACATGCCCAGCACCGCCCCCCACACACCTTTTTTTATAATGATTTTGTTTTAGTTGCAGTTGGATACAATACCTTTATTTTTCTGTGGCGCTGAGGATAGAACCCAGCACCCTGAACATGCTAGGCTAGTGCTCTACAGCTGAGCCACAACCCCAGCCCTGCCCCCCGCCCTTGTTTTTAAACTTTGAGACTGTGTCTTGCTAAGTTGCTGAGGTTGGTCTTGAACTTGTGATCACCCTTCCTCAGACTCCTGAGATGTTGAGAATCTAGGCACACCGGACCAAGCAATTTAATTTTTTTTTTTAATAGTTGTCAATGGACCTTTATTTTATTTATTTGCATGTAGTGCGGGGAATCAAACCCAGTGCTTCACACATGCTAGGCAAGCGCTCTACCACTGAACCACAACCCCAGCCCCCAGCAATTTAATTTTAACTAAACATTAAATTCTAACTAAATTTAAATATTCCTATTAGTCACACATTATCCTTTTTACTTTGGTCCAGGTTATATTTGGGGAACAATAATTCCAATATTCTCCATGAACATCTTGATACTGAGACTCCTCTAAGTGGTTACAAATCCTTCCATGAGGCTAAATCTAGATAATCACCTGCCTGGATGCCAGCCTTTGTTAGGAAGTACAAACAAAAAGGGAGGCACTGTCTTTCCAATTCTACTATCATGTATAACTAAAAAGAATAAATTTTAAAAATAATTTTAAAAACCCAGAAAAACAGAGGCACTGGACTGGTTCATACAACCACCATCAGCCCACTGAATGTACTCAGGATGAAAGACATTTTGGATTTCCTGAAAATCTAACACTTTAATAATAATGACTTTGTTAAGAGAAGGAATGAACACTCACCAGGTTTAAAGAACAAAGGATCATTTTTAAATAATTTTAGAGATTCAATTGAATTTTCGAACTTTTCTTTCAAATATAATTCACCTTGTTCAAAATCATTTTTTTTCTTGCCATGTTTCCGACATTTGGATTCATTATCCTGTTCTGATTTAGCTTTAGAAAAGTCATTCTTTTCATTACTTTTGCTTCCTTTTTCTTTCAATTCTTTTTCTTGATCAGATGCCATTGTTCCTTTCATCATCTTCAAGGCTTTATAAGCCTTTTCTTCTTTCACCTTTTTCATGTCCTTTTCATAATGACGAATTCCACTTAAGTGGGATATTAGCAATCTTGTTGTGACAGAAACCTAATTGTAAAAACATGAAAATTCAATTACAATATTAAACTGTACAATAACAAGTTAACAGTCTGGGAATGGATGCCTCAGTAATATTTATCACTTTGAACTCCTGCTGGAAAAAGGTCACATATAGATCCTGAACCTCAAGTATCAGAAAAATACAAATTAAAAACACACACACACACAACTTAATCCAGTAACAGTAACTAAAATCAAAGCAAAGAGTCCTATGAAACATTTCAAATATAAATTCCAGCATAAACCATTTAACAAGCCAATTAATACACTGAACTGTGAATTTCACTACCTTTTCACCTTCATATTCTTTTTCTGGGAATTCAGGAACATAATGTTGTACTGGAACATCAAGATCCAGTTTCCCTGCTTCCCACAATTTGGCAAGAGCAACCATGGTGAGGCTTTTGCTGATGCTGGCAATTCTCATAACTGTCTCTGGTTTACATGGCACCCGGTTCTCAACATCGGCATAGCCTAAACCTTTGGATAAAGAAAAGCAAAAAGTTTCTATTAATAAGCTTCATGGCCAAACAAGTCTTCAAAAACTGAACTATCTTAAAACACCTTGGGTACTCTTCTAAACAAAAAGATAATCCACTTTTATTAGTTACTTAAAACTGGACATGTAAGAATGAGTTTTAGCAATGCTGACAAAAATAAACCTAACACTTTTTTTTTTTTTACAAAGAATCCTGTAATTATTAGAGACAAAGTGTAAAACAGCAATGTTCCAGAAAAAAAATAGAGATCTTATCCACATCAATTTATTACAATATATTTTCATAATTGTTCTATTTTATCATTAGTTATAGTTAATCTCTTAATATGCCTAACTTATAAATATAGTTTTATCCTAGGT